TTTAAGGGAAAATGTCGCTTCTACCTGGTCCAGCATCGACAGGTTCCGGCTCCCAATTTGAATCTAAGTAATCATCCAGTTCATACTGCTGAAGTGGCTGTATAGGTTCACTTTCGTCGACAAGAGAATCGCCACTATCATCATCTCCGACAAGGTTTGATACAATACATCGTATGGTATCAGGCCGCTCTCTGATAGTAATGTCAGTCGACCCTTTCAGTCAATGATGCATTCATGCTACACATACCGAAGATATCGTCTAATAGGATCAGCTACTTTAAACAGTAGCACTCCTGGAGGGTCCACGACACGTAAACATTTAATGGTGGCGACATATTGTGTTAGTATCAAGCGTGTGTCGGCCCCAGGATGTAGTAACCGTTTTTGATTTCTATGCAATTCGTTAGTATCAAGTAAGGAAGTTCTAGCTCCACTTTGGCCTTACGCTTTGCGCAAGGTGTGCACCAAAGAGGCTCGTTGATCAACACGATGCAAACATTCCTAGATGATGATCATCAGCAATTATCACAATTGTCATTGTACAATATTCACTTTAAGATCTTGCAGAGCTCCAGAAGAATCAGGGTAGTCAATGATGATGTCAAAAATCTCTTTCGTCCTAATGATAAGGAATTCGATGATGTGAAGTAAAAAAAACGCCACACATACCGCAAGTCACACAGTGTTTTAGCCATGTGGAAATCAAATCTGGAACCAACATTTTGAAGCATAGCGCGAGCGTCATCCGCTGAATGGGTACCCATGAGAGAAGTTTTATTACAGCATTTCGAGACACACCAGTAGTAGCGTTTCTTGCGTACATCAACAACATCCAAGGAACAACCTTGTCCGTCATCCACTTTCTCAATTGTCCTAACATGGGATTTGACCACCGCCCACTACAGGCTGCGACGACATGAGCTTCGATATGTTCATACCCCACACTAGCGATGATATTCTCATATCTGTCCAGAAGCCCCAGGATTTCAAAAGCTTGCCACATTTCGACATTAGGAGCTGGTACGTTCGTTCTTGGGTCCGTAGATGGTAAGGTAGAAGCGCATAAGTCTTTGAAGCCTCGAACAAAGGTAGGGGTGAGGACAGAAAATAGGTGGGTCTGAAATGACAGAACGAAGGCGGAATGAAGGGTGGCGCCCAATCTGGAAAGAGAGTAGATTGTAACGTAGATCCCACTCAATACAAGCTTGCGTACTCTTGCATCGGAAGCCATTTCTTGTACCATTTCAGAAGTCGAAACACAAGGTTCAAAATGAAGCTCGTATCAGATGTGCGCTGGATTTCTGTGAGTAGGATTATCAGGATGCTGATTGGCGATAGACGCACTTCGTACTCGAGTGTATACCGATCCACTTCTTCTTTGATAACAGGGAAGCGTTTTCTCATGTCCTCTGAGAGAATACGTTCAATTGAGGCACTAGTCGCGCCACCAGTCTACACACCAAGCAAACTCTCTAAAAGGATAGGAAGGCGCCTGGATTTGTTTAACAGTTCAAAAGATGCCTGAAACGTGCTCTTATCTGAAGATGTTGATGAAAGCGAGCTTTATGGAAAGTAAGAGAGCTGTACCGTATTGTGTAAACGAATCAGGCTCATCAAGTCCCCTTGGGCGAATGCATTCCCTAGCAATATTCCATGCCTAAGACACAAGATTAGATATATGTACAAGCAAAGAGAGCAGTTCAAAGCTTACCTGTGTGAAGTTTAGTAGCCCTACAATCCCTGGCTCGTTATGATTGAGGCGCGCGAATGATTCTTGCCATTTAGAAGCGACTTGTGCACGAAGCGCGTCGGTGGCCATGAATTAACTGTGGAAGGATAGCACGATCACATGTCTAAATTGACAATTATGTAGTTACCATCGTTTTCACGGGGCAATTGAAGCCTTACAATGACAATCATAGTTCAGAGTTTTTGCTCTGAAGTAGCTTGAACTCACAACGCCATAGCACGTTGAGAGAGCCTTGCGGATTGTACGTTTTTGTAAATTGTATCATCTTCTCTACTGTTCCGTTGTCAGTAGTAGACCACGCCATCACAGACTCTGAGTTATAGTGAAGAGCAAACTAAATAAGCCTCGACGTTGGGCCTCATCTTCGATTCACCAACCAGTAACTCACTGGAACTTTCCTAGAATCCGGTTTCTTTCCCAATTATGAATATGTGGTAAACTTTATGTACAGAAGCCATTGAAATCAGCACCGACGGCCTGCAGCATATTTTCTCTGACTATCCACTGGATGAGTTGGTGGTGGCTAAGATCATGCCGAGTTGATCAGGGGGCAGATTTGGTGCTGTCAAATAGTGTCGATAGGGCGTGTATTGCGGGATCCTGACTCGGATGTTGCGGATGGTAAAAGCTTTCCATGTTGCTCGCTCTATTGAAGCTCTTCAACTGCTCACTGTGGAGGTGAGAACATCAGTGGACACACATTCTAGTATCTACACACATCTGTACAAAGCTGCGGCCAGAAGTCTTAGCGAGAATGAATACCGATGTTTTTTTTGACTCGACAGTCACAGTCGGGAGTGCTGTCCAAGAACAAAACAAATATTGACCGCTACTAAATTCTTCATTTTCGCTATGTCACTACCTACATACACCCTTCCTCTTGATCTTCAATATTATAATTCGCCTTCTGAGAGACACATTTACATTGTATTATTGAACATATTGCTGGAACACACGAAAAGCTACGGGTGAATGGAGTCGCGCTATGGCACATTCCACTATTCGCTGGCCAGTCATTGTTCTACCTAGTTCGGACTCACTGTAGGCCTTCTTCCCAGTTAGCCTGCTTTGCGAGATAAATCATCAATTTGAGTGATTCATCTCCCTTCGGAGAACATAACATTGAAACAAAAAGCAACTTTCTGAAAGGATACAGACAATTGGACAACGTACATCGGGCGATGCAAGCTACACAATCATAGCTCGGATCTATCATAATTCATCGCAGGTTTTTGCCCTTCATTCTGGGGCAATTTGAATCCACCATGCCATAGCGCGTCAAAAGAGTCTTGCGGATCGTAAGTTTTCTTCACTTGTATCATCTTCTTTAGTGTTTCGTGATCTGTAGACCGCGCCATCACAGACTCTGATCCTGATGCATAGTTCATGTAGATGAACGGGCTAAATAAATCTCGTCGTTGTGCCTCATTTTCAGCCCACGTCAATAACGCTTCAGCATTGGTGTTCATAATATTGTCGTCAGATGGATCAAGCCAGTCAGTTGTAATTAGCATCACTAATCGAAGGATTCTCGTCAGTCAAGCAAAGACTATGATAGTCAGGTGTAAACTGACCCCAAAGATCGCCGTGACTTTCTCTTAAACAAGTCGGATTCCCTCCATTCTCAGCAGCAACTGTAGCAAATCGAGCAGGAATGGGCTGGACTGAGACAGCCCAATGAACTCCCGCATGGTCATGGTACGGCTCGAAAAGTTCTATCCCTTTGGCATGAAGATCCAGATGAAACTGTGCATTGGCTTTGTAGGTCATCGAAAGCCAGCGACTACGTCCGCGTTTTCCTGGATCTGCCTCTTGAAACTCTTCAGTAATGTCGACGAGACTCTTTATTCCCATCATGTCGACGAGTGGCGTTAACGATACGAACTCGGACCATAATGCAGGGTATGGCTCTGGCTGAAGATACGTCTGAAGTGTCCAGATAATATAGTCTTTCGCTTCGGGATTCCATGCCAGGCTCAGACCGAAGAACCCTTTGGGATCTGTAGCCAGCTTCTCGGTGAATGTAACAAGACGCTCGAGAAGAACTGGGGCGTCCTTGATCGCAAAGAACTGTGAACCACCCCAAACCAAACCTTGCGGAAACGTGAGCATGTCAAATCGCGTTACGATACCAAAATTTGTGCTGCCCAATTTCAATGCCCAATACAAGTTGGAATGCTGTTCGCGGTTGGCATTGATGACAGAGCCATTGGCGAGGACCACTTCGTAGTTGATAACGTTGTCACTTCCAAACCCATGTTCCGCGGACAAAAAACCTATCCCTCCTGAGAAATTTTCAGTGAAAATGGAAAGCTCAAAAGTAGGAATGTGTTCGTAGCTTACCTCCAAGGAGAAAGCCTCCAACTCCTACGTCGCCAACCCTGAGTAACGTTTTAAATTGCGTTCCAAAAGTGGTACTTGGCAGTCTTTACCTTCCGCCAACAGTTGTGAGATTTTCTGGCTGTAGCAGAGCGTACACGTCTCGCCATCTTGACCCCGCTCCGAAAGATACGACAGATTTGTTTTCGAGAAGTTCAACACCTTTGACTCGTTGCATGTCAATGGCGAAACCTTCCGAGCCAATATTTGACGCGCCGGTCCATGCCATGTGCCCTCCTGTGCGAACTGCAAAATGACATTTGCGTGCACTAGCGAGTTCGAGTATACGAGAGACATCAAAAGTGCTTTCTGGCGAAACTCGGCATGCTGGTGTCATTGTAGCTTGTTCACCGGAATAATATGAAGATTGTTGAGCGATGTAACGTCCGCTAGATGGCCAAAAGACTTGTCCAGGGAGCAAAGAACTCAGCGCATTACACTAGTAGATGCCAAACATCACTTCCGGGTCATAAGTTGTTTTTATGAGGAAGTCGAAACGTACACATGTTTTCGCGCCAAAATCGATTTCAGGAGTTCCAAGCTCTGCCTGTAGAGCACACGCAAAAGTAGAGAAGAGAACAACAGCTAAGGATAAAGAAAGGGGCATATCTTGTCGTCGGTCGAATCGAAGCAAATGGTCGTAAATAGCTAACGCGAGTGGGTCCAGGTTTCTTGTACATAAGGCCGCCTTGAAGTCCACGTTTTTACAGGGTTAACTGAACCAAAGAGTACGATGAAATTGTACACGAGGCTGGTTGAGAGCAACACAATATCTGGAGATCGCTAGTGATTCATCTTGACAAGATCCGTACCATGTCGGAATTGTGAGAGTCAATGGAATTGATTGTGCAAATGTGAAAAAGATAAATGTGGCCTGATGGTCTAGGAGTATGATTCGTTGTTAGGGTTAAGTTCTACCTGTCGACGAGGTCCCGGGTTCAATTCCCGGTCAGGCCCTTTTGGTTTTGCTTTGCTCTTTTGCCTAATGTTTTTGACCATTGCCATTGGAGGATGGTCAAGGTCTTTGATGCCATGAAGATCACTTGTTCCTTCTATGTTTCCTTTGAAGTCAAGGTCCAACTACCCTTCGAATCATTTCAGCTTTGCCAAGGTTTATGCCTATGTGAAAGCTTTTCTTTCCGTGAGTTTATTTCATAACAGGCTTCCACTGCAAGCCAAGTACTTTCTGTGCCTCACAATTCTACTCCCTACTCTTTCACATCTTGGACTTTTGTTTCCCTTCATGGAATAGTCACCTTGCGAAGGCCTCTTTGTTCTCTCCTTGGACCCCTTCCAAACTGTGTCTTTCTGAAGAGTTCTGAAGTTCCACTTTTAGAAGTAACAAAGATACAATAGTGAGAGGAACCTCAGTTTTAATATTGAATTAACTTGACTTAGCCTAAACTCGACGATTCCCAATGACACCAGCATGCCGAGTTTCGCCAGAAAGCACTTTTGATGTCTCTCGTATACTCGAACTCGCTAGTGCACGCAAATGTCATTTTGCAGTTCGCACAGGAGGGCACATGGCATGGACCGGCGCGTCAAATATTGGCTCGGATCCCTTCAGGATATTTGAGAGAACTGTCAGCAAGTCAGACAGGGACTGATTATGATTTGTATGAACCACTCGCGATGTAGTGTCAGCTACGCTGATTTGGAAGATGTTCAGACAATTATGCAACAGTCGGAGTGTTAGTTTTTTTTTTTTGACTAATTTACTGTCTCTTGTAAGCGCCCCAGCGCTTAGGCCCGACTTACCGACTGCCCGGACTCTCCGGACTATATATAAACTGACACCATACTTACTTCGTCTTCTCTCCTTTTCCTTTCTTTCCCTTCATCATCTTGAGCTCATCTTACGACTACCTCATACCTCTTCAGAATACACGGTGTTCATATCACTTGGTCTGAGCGTGGGTGTCGTCGGACGTACGACGATTACACTTTTTTTTTGATATTTCATAAACACTGTCCCTTCGACGAGGTTTGACGACGACCTCTCGGTTTTCGTCACTGTACCTATCTCGCCCTTTGAATATTTCCTTTTTTCTCTTCCTATCTCTTGCCTTCTGTTACCTCGTTTTGGAGTACCCGCTATTGACGGAACTCGCCCTCGACGCGCATATATCCAATAGGACGCGCATATATCCAATAGACCTCACAGCATTACGCTTGCCCTTGATTTTTTTTCCCTGTTCATATCCCTTGCCTCCCGTTACCTCGTCTTGAAATCTCGCTATTGACGGATCGCGCCCTCGACGCGCTTATATCCGAATAGACCCCGCGACTTTGCGCCCCCGTGTTGACCACTTGAGAACGTTATTCGTTCTTCGTGCTGACGGATTACACTGCTTGTGTACGTCAATCTTGACCTAGTTGTTGCCTTGACCTCTTACTTGCCCTTGCCATCTTGTCCTTGTTTACACATGAACGAGCTGCTGACTTGTGTCACCAACAGGTTTATGCCGACTGTTGCCACTGATTTAGTTCGAAAACCTCCAGCAACCAATAATCCAGAACGTGCTGAGCGTGCTCGACGAAGGAATATTCTTGTCCCGCCGCTACCCCAAGTCGAATCTACGAGTGACCCTTCCGCCGCCTCATCGCAAATCCAGTCCAACACATCCGATTCAATTCCCGCATCACCTACTTCGTCGTTGTCGTCTACCTCAAGTGACATGTCGCGTAACATCAGTGGAAGTGGGTGGGTTGATATGGGTACGGTGAAGGCTGGCTGCCAGCTTTTGATTCCAAACCCAACACTCGATGCCCTGGAAGAACTGTGGGGTTACGTCGTCACCAATCTTGAGGACCGCGAAATCTCCGATGAGGGCGTCAAGAAGAAAGAGTTCCTTCGCTGTTTTGCGAAATGGGGGAATCTCAAGGACACCATTGCCGAAATCTCGCATACGCTCGCGTCGAAAGCCTGGATTGAAGTGGATGAGACATCTGTGGATTCCGAAGACTTCATCTCACGTCCATTCTTCGACACCATCCGCGACAAGATTTTGGGCAACGATTGGGCGCGCGTTTATGATCTTAAGCGTGAAAAGTATGTTATGATATCCGATGCGACAGGTTTTTCGAAGCTGGTCACCCTGATGGAGACGCACAACCGACGTTTGCGAGGAACTATGTACCATCGTTCCAACGAAGTCTTACAGACTCTGATCATGCAAAAATTGCCGGAGAAATTTCGTGCGGATCTTCGCGACTGTAAAGTCTCGGAGAACCTACCCTATGGTGATTGGAAAACGGCGTGCAAGGACGTAGAACAACGCCGCCCGCCCGTTTTATCTGCCACTAACTCGGGTCCCAAACGAACGGACTTTCGCCTCGAGAGGGCACCTGACGCGGTGCCTTATGGAAAGGGCACTATGCCAGGTGTTCCCAATTCCACGTCCTTGCTATCCAACGTTAGAGCCAATAGATTCCCAAAATTACACCCGGAACAGAAGAAGCTCTTGTACAGGCTAGAAGCTTGTTACCGCTGCTATAATCTCTTTGCAGGGCATCGGAGCAATGACTGCCCTAGCAACGGTCCACCTAGTTTGTCCGTTCCCTTCCGACCTCTTAACGAAAATGACGTCGCGCTGGCTACGCGTATTCACACCGCTGCGCCGGATAACAGCATCCCCTACGAATTGATTCTGAAACGCAACTTGGTCCCAGGGTCGTCCACAAATGGGCGGGCAGTGGCTGCTGTTCGCGACAGAGTTCCGTTGACTGAACTACCCAACTTGGATGATGGACTAGCCACAACCCCGTTCGTTGTTCAACCTAGTGACGTGGCTGCGTTCTATGGTTCCAGCAATATTGTGCACTCCGCATCGGGTGCTGACGTGTATGGTAGTGGTCTTTCTCGCGGTCTGAGCGGGTACAATTCGTTGTCTTCAGATCCAGTACGCAAACCTGTCGCGACACTCATTCCGAATCGCCGCAATGAGCGTGAATACTACGACGAAGATGACGAGGGCGGTAGCGTTCGTTTCTCGCCGTCTTATGGTCGCCGAACCCGCCGCCGTTCTCACTCGCGTTCCGTTTCTGTTTCCTCTGGAGAAGGGGAGACTGCCACACAGGCTGGTTCTGTCAGTCACGTTGTTGACGATGAGGCCTCTGCTGTTGAGAAAGTTTCCAGCTCTGGGTTGGATGGAAGCTCAACTTCTGCCATGGGCAGACGTGCTTGTTCCGCGCCTTCGGTGAGTGCATCCAACTATGTTGATACCCCCATGCCTTTCGTACTGCCCCACCTGGAGTGGGAGGCGAAAATTGATGGCCCACTTGGTTTTTCTGTTCAGAGATTACTCCTGGACAGCGCGTGTCCTTTTGTACTGATGCATTCTGATCTTGTGTCTGCACTAGGCCTAAAGCGTATTCAACTACGGCGCCCTCAGGAAATGTCATTAGCTATGTCGTCTGGCAAACCCGAAGTTTTTTATTCTACTGAATTTTGCAAACTCGTTCTCGAAGATCCTCGTTTATGCTGGCGCTCCCGCGGCGTTCGAGCTCTCATTGTACCTTCCTTATGTTCCCCTATGATCCTTGGTCTCCCTTTCCTATCGCATAACCACCTTGTAATGGACTATGATGCCCGGTCTGTCATTGACAAGACTTGTGGCTTTGACTTGTTGAACCCAGTTGTACCATCTCCTGTACCCACGTTACTGAAACCTGCCGAGAGGCGGCGCATGATTAATAGAAGTCAGCAGCGTTTACTTAAGCTCAAAAAGGAAGTTTTTCAACGAGCTGCACGTTTCGCTCGTGAAAGCGCTTCGTTTCAACGTTTCACCGTTTCTGAGTTCCCTCTTCGTTCTTTTGACGTCGTTGCTGCAATCCGTTCTCGTGTGGAGGTTCTGGAGAATCAAGCGAGACTGGACGAACTCTCAGATAAGTTTAAGTCGGAATTTGCGGATGTTTTCACCCCCATTGCACATACTTCCGATCTACCGACTGACTTCACCTGTTCTATTACACTGAAAGATGCTAGTAAGGTATTCCAGACGCGTGGTTACGCTTCACCTCGTAAGTTCAAAGACGCGTGGAATACTCTAATTCAACAGCATCTCGATGCTGGAAGGATTCGACCCTCTAACTCCCCGTACTCCTCCCCTGCCTTCCTGGTACCCAAAGCGGACCCCACGGTTCTACCTCGGTGGGTTAACGATTTCCGTTTGCTGAATGCAAACACTGTTCCTGATCGTTTCCCGTTACCTCGCATAGACAATATCATTGCGGCTTGTGCGAAAGGTAAAGTCTGGGGAAAGATGGATATGACCGATTCGTTCTTCCACACCCGTCTTGATGATGCTTCAATTAAGCTGTGTGCGGTTCATACTCCTCTCGGGCTATACGAGTGGACGGTTATGCCGCAAGGATTGCGTAACGCCCCGTCGTGTCACCAGCGTCGAGTAACACAGGCGCTTCGCCAGTACATTGGGAAGTTCTGTTACATATATGTTGATGATATCATCATTTTCTCCAATTCTGAACAAGAACATGCTGAGCATGTTAGACTCATTTTGGAGGCTCTGCGGCACAACAAGTTTTACATGAATCCTCGAAAATGTAAATTTTTTCTGTCTGAGTTGGACTTCCTAGGTCATCACATCTCGTGTCGTGGCGTTGAAATCCAGTCGTCGAAAGTGGAAGCTATCGTTAACTACCCGACTCCTACGTCTGCTTCTGAAGTACGGCGTTTCCTGGGTATGGTACGGTTTGTTGCGAGTCACTTGAATATGCTAGCCGAACATACACGTTTGTTGACCCCGCTCACTGCCAAAGAGTGCGAAAAATGTTTCCCGATTTGGACATCTGACCATGATTTCGCGTTTGCTGCAGTTAAGAGTTTGGTAGCATCGTCCGCCTGCTTAACTGTGATTGACCATGATAATATGGGTGAAAACAAGATTTTTCTCGTCACCGATGCCAGTGACTTCCGACGCGGTGGGGTGCTC